AAGGAAAACGAACAATTGATTTAGGTCCAGAACAAAAAAGAATTTTTATGGAAAGACTTAAACGTGATGTTAATGTAAGAAAAAAAAACGGACTGATTTCTATAAAAACACAAAATTTGTTTTGCGTTTTTTTGTAGTTTCTTGTTAGTCAACATAAAATGGATTATTCATTACTTATTGGTATTCATGATCTTGATCAAGGTGGTGTTGGTACGAAAATATTCTTGGTATTTTAAATATATTTCGTTTTATTTATTTTTTTTTCGAGAACGTGATCAAACCATAACGGGTGGTGATATGAATACATCTGATCTATCTGGTAATGAGTCATCTGATGAATCTGGTACGAATTGTTTTTTTTATTGTGAAACATATTCACATATTCGGTCTTTTCATAGAAAGTCCAGGACAAATTGGTGATGATTATTCATCTGATGAACCATTTATAATGCGAAGTGCAGAAAGTAATTTATTAGACTTTTTTTGTTTTATAATAATAAAATTTTAATTTTATTATTTGTTTTTTTTTAAATAGCATCACCACGTCGTGAACTGTATAGTCTTGGTTTAATTGATATATTAACATACTATGGTATGAAAAAGAAAAGTGCACATGTTGCTAAAACAAAATTATCTGGTTCAGATGCTGATGGAATATCTACAGTTAAACCAGAAATTTATGCACGACGTTTTCTTGATTTTATTGATAAAAATTTTACATAGAAAATAAATACTTAATAAAAATCATGTAATATTCTTTACTTCTACATTTTGTTCTTTCTCATTTGCAATAGCTCGAACCCGTCATTTTGTTTTCTGGTTTTTTTTTTTCTTTTTGTTCGTACAGTGTTTATTTTGTGTGTATGTGTATGTTTATATATGCGATTTGTTCCGGTTTGTAAATTGATGGACATATGTGTTTATTCTTGGTTTTTCTTTTCTTTTTCTTTGTTGATTTATTATACCGGAGATTTATCGTTTAACATGCATGTATGCGCATAGTTCTAGTCATATGACTCATTTTTTTCTTCTTCTTGTTTAATGCCTATTAGTTTGCACTCTATTTTTCATTTTCTATTTGGTATGTATATCATTATATTATATTTGATGTTTTATGTATGTATACACGCGCGGAATTCTACGTATATATTGCTAGTTGAAAAGAACTATTGAAAACAACAAGACATATATGCTATGATATATTAATAATATATATGATTTATAATTTTACCTAACGAGTAAATCATTGTGAGCATTGATCTCAATAAATTCAAGCATGTTCCAAAACAAAATAAATCCTTGTACTAAAAACATCAGTAATCAATAAAGACTTTTTAATATAAGAAAAGTTGGAAATCTCATGGGAAATTTCAGAAACGATTACTGTTTCAGATCTAAAGCAAATAGAGAATGAAACATTAATTATATTTGATTGTCTATTTTGACCAATGGTATTGATCGAATATTTAATCCTTGAGACGATGAGTTTTTTGTTATAATACTACTATTGAAAGCATGTCGATGATGCAGATTCGTTCAAGCGTAATGTACAAAAAAAAATTCTATGTAAAAAATTTAGTTTGTATGCATATATAAGATTTGATAATTAATCAAAGGAGTGATCTTGTTAGAGTTTTCTATTAAAATAATTTCAATTTCTAAAGCTTCTACGATATGACTGTAACAAACAAGATTTACTAATACAATAGTTAATTAACAAGAAGATTATGAAATATGATCTTTCAATTTATAATAGAAAAAAGAAGACTAGTATGATAATGAAGAAAGTCTATATGACAGTGACTACTATGAATACGATGACATAGTAAAATTATAAGCTTCATTTATTTTAACGATACATATCATTGTCAAAATAATTTGCATGCACTTTCTTAAACGCAGTTCTTTTCATTTTGTCTTTTTTTCAAATTTTCTACATTGGCCCATAAATGCAATCGAAATAATCAATGAATTTATGACAATTAAAGAACCCAACAGCAATTTAAAAGTAAAAGTAAAAATTGATCCATTACATGAGACTAAGAAACAAATATAGTTGTGATATAAACTTGTCAATAATTATTATCTTTTTAGCAGACCAGTTCTTTCTAGCTAACAATGACTTTTTCTCAGTCGACTCCGATAAATCTGAAGACAAATGAACGCAACCAAGGCTAGATTTGAAGCCAAGCATAGTAGTACGGTTGCATATGTCATTATTCTATCGTTCTCATTTTATTAATAGCTTAATATTTGAAGAATTTTATGGATACTAATCAGTGAATTATATATATATATGGGCGTACTTAACCATAGGATGCCTTGATTTTTATTGCTTTATGTAGCTTCAGGCAATTATCAGAAAAATGGTATATTTTTATCACTTATAGTACACGTATAATGCTAGTAATATGTTATTGTTTGAGCTCTATATCTCCCTAAAAGCTAGAGTTAACAAGTATTTCTTTATAACCATTTTGTTAAAGTATTTCGTATCTAGCTAGTCAACAATAATCAATTTTTACTAAGCATCTTTTCGTGGAGTATGAAATTTTGCTGCATAGGTATTTGACGCAAAGCCAACTTCAAGGTCAGCATAAGATTCACTGCTCTACTATGGTTTACTGAGAGTATGATTTTTTTAGTAAAAAGAATTATCGATCAGTAACCTGTTTGGACTTTCTCAATAACAATACGTAGAGTCATACATATCAGTACCTACTAAAGCATGTATTGTGCCTATTACATAGGATTTAAGTAAACGTCCTATTGGTAAGTAAAGAGCATAATAAGTTAACTGTATTTCTTGACTAACTATTTGGTAATAAAACTTTGTTGCTGGTACTGCAAATAGTTTTAATTTTCTAAATAAGAATTAATACACGTTAATAAGCTTGATGTGGAGTACTTCAATGAAATAATTGAAAAGAAACACTTGATAACTCTTGATTTTAGAGAGATATAGAGCTCAAACAATAACAAATGACTATCATCATATGCATACTATAATTAGTAAGAAAATCACATTTTTCTGATAATTGACTGAAGTTACATAAACAAATAAAAATCGAGGCATCCTATAGTTAAACACGCGCATATATACATACTCGGCATGAAAGAATGTGTATCATTCGTCACAAATTGTGGTTCCGTAAATCACTCCCTAAAAAATTTCCACATGTGGGGATACTCAACCAATTAAAGTATATTTTGGTGACAAAATAGGGATTT